AATTCAACGAGTGGAGTCAGAGACGCTATTCGAATATCCCCTAGAGTGACAAGTGACATAGCTTGAAAATTGAGAAAATGAATTAGTACAACCCACATCATAGGGAGTAGTTATTTTCCACCCATGTAGAAGCCCATCTTTCATTCCTTTCTTGGTGGTTCAATATGTAGGATTTCAGTGTTGTAAAAGAGGTTATACTGCTGTATGAGCCATATAACTTTAATCAATACTTTTCACATTAGCCTAAGCGTGATCAGGATCCATTGGCTGGCCCCTTGGTTTAATTAAGAGCTGCATACTTTGAAGCAGAGTTTGAAAAAGTCAGAGAGAAAAAGTGGTTTCAATAATTCAAATGATCTGTACAGAAACAAACCGGGATAAGGAATAATAAAGAACAAACCCAGGTTTATTTTTAACACTATAGCCACAGTGACAAAGAATGTTAACTCTGCTGAACCATGTGCTACATTCACACCTCAACACTTTAGTCAAGCTGCAGTTACTTCATGAGATCCACCCATTTATCCACCCATCGTCCTCCGCTTATTACAAAGTCGGGCTGCAGGGGCAGCATATTGAGCAGGGAGGCCCAGACATCGCTTTCCACAGCCACCTCTTCCAGCTCTTCTGGGAGGACCCCAAGGTGTTCCCAGACCACCAGAGAGACGTAGTCTCTCCAGAGTGTCCTGGGTCTCCCCTAAGGTCTCCTCCAGTCAAACATGCCCGAACCACCTCATCTGGCTCCTCTCAATGTGGAGGAGCAACGGTTCTACTCCAAGTCTCTCCTGATAACTGAACTTCTCACCCTATCGCTAAGGGAGAGTCCAGCTACCCTCCAGAGAAAACTCATTTCAACTGCCTGTATCCACAATCTTGTTCTTTTGGCCACCACCCAGTCAGAGTTCATGACCATAGGCCTGGGTAGGAACATAGACTGACCGGTAAACAGACACACTTTAATAATCCCAAGGGGGAAATTTGAGGCATCTAGTAGCATGTTCTAATTATACAGAAAAAACACAACCCTACAATTGAAATAATCAAAAAAAGAAGCAGAATACACAAATTGGGAAAAAGACAATATGCACATGCACAAGGTGGTAGGGAGTACTACAGTCATGATTAACCTATAAATAAATATATATGTGTGTGTGTGTGTATGTGTGTGTCTGTGTGTGTGTATACATACTCATCTAATCATATATATACATATACATGCATATACATATGCATTATGTACATGTATATATACACACATACATATGTTTCTGGGGTGCCGCAGATTTACAAGGCTCTATTTTTACTGTACGGGGAGGAGTTGAACAGTCTGATGGCTTGAAGGACAAAGGACTTCCTGAATCTGTCCATGGAGCAGGGCTGGGATAGCAGTCTACTGCTGAAGGAGCTCATCTTCTTCATGATGTTGAAGTGCAGAGGATGGTCAGCATTGTCCATGATGGATAGCAGCTTAATGAGGGGCTTTTTCTCTGCCACTGTTGTAAAGGACTTCAGCTGTGTTCGCAACACAGAACCAGCTTTCCTCATCAGTCTGTATAGAGAGCTTTGCCTAACAGCTCTGCTCCCTCTTCACCACAATGGACCGGCACAGAGTCTACAATACTGTAGACACTACACCAATCCATCTGTCAATCTCACCATCCATTCTTCCCTCACTCGTGAACAAAACCTCAAGCAACTTGAACTCCTCTACTTGAGGCAGAATCTCACCCTCAACCCAAAGAGAACAATTCACCCTTTTCAGACTAAGGACCATGACCTCGGATCTGGAGGTGATGATTCTCATCCCACCCGCTTCACACTCTGCTGTGAACCGCTTCAGTGAGAGCTGAAGATCACGGCAGGATGACACCAACAGGACCACGTCATCCGAAAAGAGCAGAGATGGAATCCTGAGGCCACCGAACCAGAATCCCTCCGCCCCCTGGCTGCACCGAGAAATTCTGTCCATAAAAAGTTATGAACAGAATCGGTGACAACGAGTAGCACTGGTGGAGTCCAACTCCCACCCTGAAAGGGTCCAACTTACTACTGGCAATGCAAACCAAACTCTCGCACCGCTTGTGGACCAAACAACTCAACGTGACAGGCCCCCAATCCCATACTCATGGAGCACAGCCCTACAGAACCTCACTGACCTACAGAACCTCACTGATCTACACAAGGCGAGGTCAGTGAACAAGGCCAGGCTGATTCTGGCAGATCCTGATCACCCGCTCCATGGTGAGTTCAGGTTGCTTCCATCTGGTCACAGGTATCTGCTGCACAGATTTAGAACGAACAGACTGGAAAACTCATTCGTCCCTGCAGTGATCAGGCTTCTCAATGAACATTGATGACTTCTGTATTGTTATTTTAATGTCTTTATGTCTTGTCTATTATGGATGTTTTATATTTCTACTGACTGTGAAACTACTTGCCCCTGGGGGATAATAAAGATACTTGAACACTTCATGCAATTTACAATTAAACTATTTTCCATTGAATAGAAACTACACAACATCTATCCACATCCCTAAATTTTATTCTAAACAGGTTTGGTTCTCTAGATCGTTCATGCCCTGAACCCTAGGACAGTATAACGATATCACTAAAAATTTTAACCCAGAAGATTTACACATTTGAGACCAAAAAATAACACGAGGGAATCTGAATCATGAGTAACTAATCACTTATTTGTTGTTTATTTCATTTTAAATATCTTGTAATGCATCATATTTGTCTGAGGACATGCTATAAAGCCAAAGGCCACTAGCAGCAAAGAGAACACCACACATGCATTAAGCAGCACATTAAATGATATAATAGAAGTCACATCAACAATGCCACAACCACCATGACGAGAACACTGAAAGCTAGAAAAAAATACATCCACACCAATTTTACACCAACAGGGAGGTGCGACGTCTGCGACCAGCAACTGAACCACTGCGTAAAAATTTCAATTCAAAAATAATTTCAGATTCACAAATTCGTTGTAAAAAATTACAATCTACAGACAAAAATGTCTGTTAGCTCTCCAAACCAGGTGCCATGACCCCTCCACGTTTAAATTAGGATTAAACTGAACACAGTTTTGTAAATTCAATCATCCAGGTAGATAACAACAAAAATGATTAAATCATGTCACCTGGACCATTTTTTTTTAAAGAAACAGGTCCAGATGACATGATTTATGTTACATTTTATGTTACATTTTTGTTATTAAACTGAACAGATTCTCCACTTAAAAGACAACTTGATATCTCAGCAGGTAAAATACACAATAATGATACAAAAGGGCAGAGTTGTTGGTAATAGGATTTTCTATAAAGTGATAGAGATTTAGGAATCTATGCAGCGGGTTTACTGGTAATCTCATTTCGTTATCTTTAATTAATCGACACTAGAGAGCAATTCAAGCAAACATATAAAACTCTAAAGTTATTTGTAGATTACTGCAAATTTCTTTCCTCTTGCAACCGGCATGTTTCCCTCCAGCACCTTAATCTCTATTAGCCTCCACGATATGAGCAAAGTCATCTTGAATCATCTGAATTACTCAACATCTGCAGCTCGATGTTTGTTAAAGCTGCTTGGCGCTCAGCGAGACTCCACACTTACTTAACCAGAGGATAAAACCCTCAGGTGATGTAGCTCTTAATCACCTCATGCAAATCGTGTAATTAATGTTCTTTTGCTTCAGATTACATCAAAGGTTCAGTCATTTTGGGTGAAGTATAATTGGCACAGAAAGTGTAAAAGAAGAAGTATAAGTGCAGTTGCATGGCCTATCATCATTTATCAAACACGTACTCATGCATATTCATAGTGACAGGTGACGATTTTTTGCCTTGTAAATCATGGCTGATGATCTGAGAAAGTGGAAACTTAATGTCAAAGTAAATTAGTCTGCAAACTATTACCTGAAAAAGCAGATTGCAGAGATAAATGCTTTCTTTTTATACCGGGGATTAAGTTTTTAATAAATAACCTGCTTCATCTGATATTGTATTATTTAAAGCGCTTCAACTCTCTAAAAAACATAATATTTGAGTTTTAAAATACAAACTTTGGCATTTTATTCAAGGCTTCAAAGATGCTTTATTGTCATACCAGCTCACATTTGCATGTTTTACAGTACAAAATTCAGACTCAGGTCCCAGATCAAGAAGCCTAACAATTAACAAATA